TTGTCCTCTCCGGCCGCCGCGTCACGTCACGGCTGTCCCTCCGGTGGGGGCGGGATCTCCCTCCCCGCCCACCCGCCTACACGACCACAGCCAACCCTCTAGCTCGCGCCGCTGAAGACCATCCCTCCCACCCGCCATCCCGCCCGACCCTGGCAGCCATACCCGCCCCGCTGCCATCGCCCGACTGCCAATCCCCGCACTACATCGCGCCACGACTGCCATCCCGCCCCGCCCTGCCATCTCGCCCCGACTGCCATCCCGCCCCGACTGCCATCCCGCCCGCCTGCCATCACGCCCTGACTGCCATCCCGCCGGCCATCTCACTTACCCACCCGCCATTGCACCCGCCTGCCATTCCCCCCGCCTGCCATCACGCCTGCTGCAATGCTAGTTGCCGTTGCCCCTCATGCGAACCTCTCGGTCGGCCGGCGCACAATAAGCAACGTAAACTCGACTCTCTCTCTCAATAGACGGGCACCGGTTACTAATAACGTTTTCCATTTAGCGAAGTAACGCGCTGAACCTGTCTCGATAGAATGCGGCTGGCGCTGCTGCTGATGCTGATGCTATGGATCTGAACAGCGCCGGCCTTCATCCCGACGCCAACCCGGAGAGAATAGGAGGGAGTGAAATGGCGAATTTAAGCGGAAATGCGAACAATGGTCAGGCAACTGTATTCCCGTGTTTTCACTTTTGTTAACTTCACTGTACACGTAGTGTTTCAGTGATTTACATGCCGTGTCTCCCTATTGACAAAGTTTCCGTTGTCATGTTTCTACACAGTCATTGATAATTGTGTTAATTTATTCTTACCGAGAAGTAAATGTATTTTGCAGATTAAGCGTAAACTTCATAGACACAATTTTAGTATGGATGAGTTGAGATCTTATATTTTTCTTGAAAACTACAATCAAAAGTTAGTCTTGATAATTCAACTGAGTTTGTTTAAATTACATTTAATAATTCAATTTAATAGTATTTTTCTTTGTGACTTACTGGAGGTAATTCTAAAGATTAAGAATATTTTCCTCTCTATAATGAATTTCATTTATTTAATTTGATATTTTACTTACCTCTGAAATTTTATTTTTAAACGTAGTCATTAATTGTCTTTATGAATGAGTTGACAGAAGTTGGATTTTATTTAAAACAATAACTTCTATCAAAATACCGACTATTCATTCCGCATAAACTGTTAATTAAAGACTGTTACAATCTCTTTGCAAATAATCACCGCAGAAACGAGCCTACAGTTATTGTAAGTTTTAAAATTATTTCAACCTCCGTGGCGTATGTTTCAATAGTAGACAAATAGTTATATACGGCATTGAGTAGAATAATTAATAGTATTTGACCATGTGCGGCAAAAACATTTTTGCATAATTTTAGCACCATTATTTTATCAGCAATTGTGTTATGTACACTACAATTGGTAACGACGTAGTATCATTGTGAGAGTTTAACGGTGTTGGCCACATATATAATTTTATTACATAACATACGTTATATCCTAGCTTTGTGCACCTTATCCAAGATATTTCGCCAACTTTCTCTTGAGATCCAAATAAAATAAAAATATAGTACAAATATCGCATTTCACACCTGTCACAAAACTTATAAGCCCCTGACACATACTTTCTACGAAAATATATGCCCCGTACATATGCAAAATTGGGCTCCGTTCTTTGAATAGCTGTCACGTAATTCTCCGTAGTAGTTTTACTGGCGTGCGTTGTATTCCCCTGCGCTCTCGTTGTTACATGCAGACGTGGAACATTGGTTCAAAAAGGGTCAATAGGTTTGCAAGAAACAAAAATATCGCATAACATGCATGGTTTTCAAGCGAGCTAATTACATAGGGTAACATAGTATGACACAATACAGTTAATTATAAATGGATAAAATAGTGGTTCAACATCAACTGCTGTAATTAGTAGAAAATAAAAATGCTTAAAGATTAAATTCATCGTGTAATTGATAGTTTGATATGATCAAAAGGAAATTATTCGAGTAATGGAATTGGTTTGGGACTGAGGTATTGGTAATGGTATGGTGTTGAGGTTCATTTTTGAAACGTAAATCAAAGTAAGGGATTAATAAATTTTATTCGTCTTAAAATAGTTATATGAGTGTTTAACCAGCTGTTTTGAATCCACGTCCGAGAATACTGATATTTTATTAGTCCTTGTGGCATGACATCAGCTAAGCAGTGACTCATTGGGTATGATCATACAGTGTTTTCATCATTTATAAGGAATGGTGGATTAACGAAATGAAATATTTGCATTCTTCAGTCAATATTGAAACTGTTTCATGGTTTTGGGATTTTTCCTGTGTTTTGGGTATCCAACGATACTATAAACACCTCTAACATAAGCAGAAGCGGCTATATTTTTCCATCAATTTGCGTATGTACTCTACATGAGTAATATAGTGTCCTGCAGCAGCCAAACTGCGGGCTTCAGAGAATGTACAAATCAGCACTATTTGCAGATCCCTGAATTTAAAGCCATTGGAATGTAGGCCAGCATGCATATAAATGAAAACTTACTATATGCCAGGGTATTATTCGAGGGAGAGAAAGATGTTTAAGATATTAAACGCAAAAAAATATTAACCTATTATAGATATATGATGTTTTATATGATGGAGCACTGTCGAGATGCGGTTACAACTAGGTTATTGTGGATGATGCGGTAAATAATACACATCACTTGATTGTTGAAAGCATTTTTGATTCTTAACATAGTCATTTTAAAGAAAAATATATTTTTTCTCCATTTTAAAGTTCTCAAAGAGACGAATACAATGATGTACTTATTGTGAAAATGGGGAAATAAATTGTTAAAAACGTGCGTTCCAATTGTTCCCGAAGATAAACTGCGAATTAACATAATAAAACAGAATCATAGACAGCTATCAAAAGCCCGGAGGATGCTTATTTTGTTTCAATTTTTCCACGCATTAAACAAATATGTTTTTTTTGTAGATTGTAAATGCCTAACAAAACCATAGACAATTCTCTCAGAACTAAAGGCTGCATAGTTTTCTTTCAATTTCGAAATTATGTGTCTGTAGATTATTTTGATGGAATTTGTTTTAATTATAGACAGTCAACCTCTTCAATTCATTGCAAATGAGTCCTTTCATTACAGATTCAATATTATTTTATTTATATAGACATCTATATAACTTATCATCTATATTACTAATGTACAATGCGAGCGATTTTGGTAGGCCTATCTACGTGTTGTGCCTAGCACCCATCGAAATATTGTTGGCCCACTGTGCCCCCGGGGCCGACGCTGATAAGCCCACGCGCCGCGTCGCGTCGCGTCGTGTCCGCCCGTTGGGGCAGCGGGCGGCCGGGCGGCCGGCGCGAGCGATAACCGCTCGGGGCGGGCGCTCCCACACGCCGGGGACGCGCTATAACTCATTCTTAATTCTTAATTTCCCTCGTTATTAGAGCCGCATTAATATAATGGAGTACGCACGAAAACGCGCGCGCTTTTCGGGGAAGAGCGGGGGCCTTTTCTTCGCGTCTTACGCACTCATTACACGCAGGGGCGGCGTTGGAGCAGCGGAGGGGGAGGGGACGGCGGCGACGGTGCTGCTCCGACGGCGACGAACAGAAGACCCCGAACAAAAGCAGCGCTGCCTGGCGGAGCAATGCCTTCATAATAGTATCTCGACGGCGCCGCCTGCTCTTGTTATGTCTGTGCTGTCTACAGTGTCGCTCTTAGGCCACGCTGTGCTTAAGAATTGGTAATATATCTCTCAGATTGTAAGAGAACGGTGGAAAGTTAAACTAGAAAAATGGTATCTTAAAAAATAACTTTTGCTCGTTAAGATCGTTCTTTCGAAAGATATTTAAAAGGTTGTAAAAGCGATACGCGTTTGTGAATGTATACTATTAATGTATCTTTGGAATAATTACACTAGTCAAAATTTAAAGCATACAAAATAGATTAGTGAAGATAAATTATTAAGTGGTCGGATGAATCATGATAATGCTGTATATATAAATTACAGTGTCGCTCTTAGGCCACACTGTGCTTAAGAATTGGTAATATATCGCTCAGATTGTAAGAGAACGGTGAAAAGTTAAGCTAGAAGAATGATATCTTAAAAATAACTTTTGCACCTTTCGTGTTTTTGGAGGATCGTTCTTTCGAAAGATATTCAAAAGTTTGTAAAAGCGATACGCGTTTGTAAAAGTGTACTATTAATGCATTTTTTGAACAATTAGACTAGTCAAAATTTAGCGAATGCAAAATAGATTAGTGCATGTAAATTAATTCGAGGCATATGATGAATCATGATAATGCTGTAAAATATAAAATTCCTAACAAATGACAATCAGTTATTACGTCATATTTAGGCTGATGCATTTGTAGCTATCACATTGAAAAGCTGAATGTATTTCTATTACTAAGTTCAAGAGATTTCGAGACTTATTCACTGTAATGGAAGTAGACTCAACGTTCCTAGTCCAGAACCATATGTGAAAATATTTAGAATTAAAATAAGTATAAAGCCACATATTGAAAGACTTCAAATGTGGTTAACGTAATTTTAATTATTAAAACAATCAAAGAAACAATGATTGTATACTAAATAGTTCCATTTTAACCTATTGACTACAAAGTTTCTCACTAACCATTTTCTTCAGTCACAACATACGGAAGTGACAACTAATTATTAAATTTTCTTTATAACTTGTCTTAATAAAAATAAAATTATATTTCACCTTCGTTATTAATAACGTTCGCTCAAGAAACAGAACGTTTGATTTTATTTAATATCTGCATAATTAAACGAAGATATGGCGGGATATTGCTTTCATGCCGCAATTAGTATCTAGTAACTAACGCAATATTAATAAATGTAACATTCCTTAAAGCTCTCAGTGAAAATGCCTATTGGTTTACAAAGAGTTTCAATCTTTTTCACATCGATTCATATAAAATAAAATAACGCGCCACATAGTATGTATTATTTATATTCTTAGATAAATATTATACATTTAAAAATAGTCATCAATCAATGACTCCTCTTCGCTAAAAGTGCATAAAAGTGAGAGTGCAATTGCTTACTTATATCAAATGCGACGTGGAATCTGAAGGCAAACAAAACACAGTGTCATAAGAGCGTCAGAGATTAAATAATCACGGAGAGTACAGAAGTATTATTTTAGCGTGGCCGCTGAAGATTGAGGGCTCAGAGCTGCCGGAAGAGTCCATTTCTCGAACTTATCGGTTTTAGGGGGTTGCGCGTCACTTCCCAGAACGTTGACAGCCCTACTCCAGTCGCGTAAACATTGACTCTGACTTTTCGTATCTGCGAGATGCAATCTTACAGTTGCGATTTCTATTAGAGTGTAGCATTTGGACGTGATTCGTAAAGTTCTGTTAAAGTGATTATTGTTCTGTTTGTGATTATAGCAATGCGTCCGATTCAGAGCAAGTTGCGTAAGGAAGACCGTCACAGTCAGTCGCGTCGAAGTCGTTGCAAAATTATTTATGATGTGAGAATCAAAAGAAAGTGTAAAAAATGTCAAAGCAACGGTATATTCGAATATATATTTGCAGAAAAAATAATAAAATGAATTGTATTGAATCGGGAGAATCGTGTTCCCTTCCAATTCCGAATAAAGAGAGGAAGAGGAAGAATGTGGAATATGCTTTCGACTGTTTCAATGAGAGAGTGATTCGTCGAACAATGATGTAATGCACCATGTCAAGAAATCGTTATTTTTACCGGAAATGGCGGTTCCCGCCCTACCCGTTTCAGCTTCCCCCACTACTCGCGAATCCTAGCGGTCACCCTAAAACAATTAGCTGTAATTAATCATCACCTCAATCTTTACCTTATTTAAAAGCAAATATTAGGGAAGGACACGCTCTTGTCACAAGTCTTGGCATCAGGGCTAAAGGCATTCATATTAGGGCCACTCACAGTCCTCTTCAAAGTTGCTCTGGGCATCATTAAGTCACGTAAGAAACGCATTATCTTGGTTTCGCGAGAGGGTTTCAGATCAGAATCACTCGCGGATCGTGCGAGCGATTTCTTCGTATCAAAAATGTTGCAAACACTCTTGCTTCGACGAATGATGCCATTGAAGCCGTTTTGGAGCTTGAGCACCATCTTACGCTACGCATAGGAGAAATTAAAACTAGCTTAGCTAGCGCAAAATTTTTCGTATTATTTGTTACAGTTCTGTAAAATTATGATATTGCTTCAATCCGCAAAAGGGTTTTCAACCAACAAAGATGTTTGCTAACACTAGTATTCGGATTTAAGTACTTAGGTACTTAGGAATTTAGGTACTTATCACTACTCTATTGGCTAAGTTGTCATAAAAACTACTTCGACATATCACAAAAATGAAAAATTGGCTATTTTTTAAAGTTCAAAGGTGTTATTGGAATTGTGACTTATGCCATTTTCTTTAGAGAACTCTATTCGAGTAAAGGAATTAAGAAAGTTTCCAGATGTGAGAAAATCTTTTCGTAATTTTTACTATTCCGCAAACGTACGTATTTACGGAGTAATATACATAATACAGGGAAAGTTAAGTAATGTTGCGGAAAATCAATTTCGAGATTTAAATGGAAATACACGTGTTGGTTTCCCCTGATACCGAAAAAGTGTTTTTTTCAAAATGCCCGTCTGTCCGTTTATCCGTTCGTCTGTGAACACCACTAGCGCGTAAACCATGCGTATAATTTTTTCCAACTAGAAGAAACTACTGTCCGTCTGGCTTGAGTCGAAGCTTTGAGACTTTGAAAAACATTATTTAAAATTTGGGGTACTTTACATGACGTTCCTGGGACTTTTTCAATTCTTTCTTAAAAAAACGGCTCCGAATTCGTTCTTTAAATCTTTTGTAAAATAAGGGTAAAATACATTTGTGAAGGTGGCATAGGTTCTATGTTTACGGTTAACTATGAATTCTAGATAATTGCAAAACTGTGATTTTTTTTGGCGTCATCATTGCAACTACAAAGTTAAAGATACAGATTTTTCCTTCGAATTAAATTTGTTGTCCTTAATTAGTTTTTTCATTAATCTCATACACATTGTTTTAAGACTTTTGCTTATTTTTGCTCAATATTGCATGCAATATGTGCAATTTTAAAAATAACAAAAACAAGTTTTCTCAAAAAACAGCTCCAAATTTTTTCTTTAATTCTTTGGTAGGGATATTGCTATGAGATGACATAAATCTCACATTGCTCTATTGTTTTGTTTTACAAAAATTACAAAAATGTAATTTTTTGACTTGTCACTCACGGTGTTAATATTTATACTATCGGAAATTTGTTCACATTATTAAGAGTTTATGTGCTTTAAATAATGACATACAGTTTCTCGAAAACTCAACCGTTTGCTATGAAAACTGGCTTAAAATTTCGCATTTTTAGAAACGTTCAAACATTTTCTCATATATGGTTCCAAATTTTTCTTGAAACTTTTCGAACAATAAGTGATAATAGCTGTCTTTACTACGACGAAAAGATAATTTTGGGGTATCTTTTGCTTTTCTAAAATTATTCAAATATGATTTTTTTAAAGATTTCACACTCCATTAATATGCAAATTTCCAGCAATTTGTAAACAATATTGTATCTGTGAGAAACTGTGCTTTAAATGACTTCTAATGAAGATTTTCGAAAACTCAAAACTTTTCTGTGAAAAAGAGCTTCAAATGTCGAATTTACAGTAGCGCTAAAACGTCAGTTTTTTAAAATCGACTCCAAATTTTCAAAGCAAAATTAATTTTTAGGCCGAGATTTTACTGTTCTTTAATAATATTAAAATAAAATTATTCTCTACAATTATAACATCGAAAAATTAAGAAAATAGCAAAAAATGTACATTGGGCGGCGTTAGCCGGCACCAGCCAAGAATATGTTCGAATAGTTAACCGAGAACAAAGGAAATAGAAAACAAATACGGGAAAGTCTGTATAACTTTGTAGCACCACTTGTTAAAAATTGTCACCCTTTACTAAAAACTACAAAAAATTACTCTCTTTTTCATAGCGTTGTACATTAAAATAATTAAAAATGTAATTTTGAAGAACAGATTTTATTTGCAATACGAATACGAATGTCAGTCCAGTAGGAGCTATCTACGCGGAGAAGCCCGGTAAGGGTGAGGAGGGCAACGGTGGATCGCAGAATTGCAAAATGTGTATATTGAAGAATTAACGACACATATAGTAAGCATATTATATAATACTTTTCTGGAATTTAGCGTCAAAATGTTTTCAGAGTCTGACGTTCAGCGAGAGCACATACGCATGTATGTACTTAATTTATGTAATATTTTCTGCATTTCAGTCCTTTCCGTGGCTATACGGATAGCCGCGACGTGTGTTTTTGAAGACCTAGTTCAACATTTACAATATTGTTGCGATTGCATAACTATTATCTACATAATAATACCAATAATAACATGTGATTGGGACGTGTCAATGGGCACGTCTGGCTGCAAAAGTACCCCGAAGGTTCCACGAGTCTATTAGGTACGGTGACTGTTTCGAATTTTCTTATTAACATTAAATGCTTTGAAAGTCTATCACCATAGCTTATAAAATGAGATGGATCTAGATTTACGCATGGGACTGTCGCAGCGCTCATTTAACTATGGTCAGTTCATTTGCTATCCGTTTTTATATTTACAAAGATTTATTATTTTTAATCTTACCGAAAAAGAGCGCGTATAATGTATGTTTATTTTTTAACAAGAATTAATATACATTGTTTTTACAATATGTATGTACAATGAGAATGAAGGAGCTAATTATGAGTTCAAGCCGAAGTGAACAGGTTAAAAATGCTTAGCGGAATTTCTATGTGGAAAGAGATAGAGGAAGAAACGAAGAGAAATTATCTGAATATTTTTGAAAATAAATTGTGCAGGAATTTGAGGCATCGATAAGGATACATCTAGAAAGCAGTGACATTTAAAATATTTAAGATTAAAATTATTTTGATATCATCAATTCAAGAATCGTTTACAGACGTACGTATCCCCCTTTTCAATTGTTTTCTGTTCTTAGGTACCAATATATTCTTTAAGCGTCTCTCCATTATGCTGCCAAATATTGTGTTTTTCAGCAGTGTTAAACTCTATCCATAACGTCCAATCTTATATTGAACTCTAAGGCTAAACTTCAATTCATGTACTTTCTGAAAAATTATATTTTTTGTAAATACCCCATTTCGGAAACCACCTCTTCAATTAAACACCAGCAAATCGATCCCAACGTGGATGATCGAGGTTCATGAGAACGTGTGGCGACTGAGCGATTTGGTCCCAAGGGTCTCGTGTTCGAGTTCCGCCTTGGGCATGGTTGATTATCTCTTGTCTGTTACGTATGTGTTGTCGCGGAGGGCCTTGCTTTCTACTGACCCCAGATGAGAAGTGCCAACAAGTGTGTTGGTGTTTAGTGTATGGTCGAATATAAATCCTAACAGGGAGAGGTAAAGTCGGCGGGATAAAAGCCCTAAAATCTAGTGGTGCTAAAATACTTTCTCATCCGTTCTTTCACCCCAAAAAAAGCAAAAAGTACTCAAATTTTCGAAAAATTGTACATGACATTTCAAAATCTATTCTTATGGGAAAATATTAAAGGAAAATTTCCATAGTTATAATTTTAATGACGAAAAATGCCACGAAAATATTACCTTTTTTGGAATGAGTTTTAACAAACGAGATCTGTAACGTTGTCTAAAACGTCTTTTACCATATCCAACAATAAAATTCTATCAAAAACGATGGAGTCATTTTTTGGAAAAGTTTGAAACTGTCCCAGGGGCGCCATGTCAAGTACCCCCTAGTATTCAAATATCGGTTTGAAATTACAGGGCCGTTACATCAGCTAGATCAATTGAGAAATATCAATTTCAGAGAAAATCGGCTGAACGGTTTAGTCGCTAATGTTGTTTACAGACGTTGTCGCACTGACAGACGGACGGACGGATGGACGGGTAGGTAGAGGTTTTTCCGTCATTCCATTTTTCGGTATCAAACACCCACAAAAGGGATTCTGATTAGACTACGTATTAGAAGTTTTTCTTTAAATTATCAACTGGATTTATCCACTTTTTCGTTACCAGGGTGCTCTAATAAGAGTTTTTATGCCAAAAATTTACCATTTAATTTGGCGCAGCATTACATAACTCTCTCTCTCTCTCTCTCTCTCTCTCTCTCTCTCTCTCTCTCTCTCTCTCTCTCTACTGCGTAAGCGGTAGCTACAAAGCAAAAAAAAATCGTCTCCAACATTTCCATCTTTCCCTCATTTCCGCACCTCGCGTACGTACCTTGGCCTTGGCCTTTGCCTTGGCATCGCCGCCGCACACGGCCACCCGCAGCACGTCGCCGACGGCCATCTCGAACTCTCGCCTCCAGTTGAAGAGGTCGCGCGTGCGGATCCTGAGCGGGCGCGGGGCGGCGGGCCTCTCCACGTAGCCCGTCTCCTCCTGCTCCCCCTCGTCCTCCTCGTGGAGGCCCGGCGCGGCGTCGCTGCGGCCGTAGCTGCACCAGCCCTTCATGCGGCGCAGGAGGCGCGCGCGCAGCCCGACCTTGTGCGACTTGGCCGGAGCGGCGGCGCCATCTTCCCTCAGAGCTGCGGCGACGCGCGAGAGAGCGTGGCTTTCATCCACCAATGTCCGAGTCCGAATAAATATCTCTGACCCCGGTGAAGGAGCTGATGAATGATTAAATTTTGCAGGAGACAAAAAAAAACAACTCTCAGCTGATGATGTAAATCAGGGGTTAATGATTTCAAACAAAACATACATACAAATCTTTTAGTTTGAATTTCACTGTCGTTTAAATATCATTAATTTCTAATTTACTTCAGTTGAAAGATAAGTTTTACTCTCCTGTAAAAGTTAATAAATTTTACAACTTATTCAGCCGAGTCAAAAATATATGAACGTAGCAGTGTAGGTTTTCATAATCATATTCAAAATCATTCGGGTTGGACGGCTGTGGTCTAGTGGAAATCTAATTTCAAATCTTCGAACTAGATTTCTACTAGACTACGTCCGTCCAGTCAGAAAAAATAATTGTAACTAGTTATTGGAATGTTAGTGCCGAACATGGGCACACATGAAAAATTTAGAGTTTGTGGGAACGGCGGCGCCATCTTCCCTCAGAGCTGCGGCGACACGCGAGAGAGCGCGGCTTTCATCCATCAATGTCCGATTCCGAATAAATATCTCTGACCCCGGTGAAGAAGCTGATGAATGCTCAAATTTTACACGAGAAAAAAACCTCTCAGCTGATGATGTAAATCAGCTGAGTTAATGATTTCAAACGAAACCTACAACAAATACTTTAGTATGAATATCACCTTCGTTTGAATATCATTAAGTCCTGATTTACTTCAGTTGAAAGATAACTTTTAATCTTCTGTAAAATTTAATAAATTTGACAACTTATTCAGCTGAGTCAGAGATATATGAATGAAGCAATGTAGGCTTTCATGTTCGGATTCAAAATCATTCACGCTGGACGGCTGTGGTCTAGTGGAAATCTAATTTAAAATCTACGAACTATATTTTCACTATACTACGTTCGTTCTGCCAGAAAAATAATTGCAATTGGTTATACAAATGCTGAAGTCCATCTGTTGAAATGTTAGCGCCTAACATGGGTGCATATAAAAAATTTAGACTTTGTCGGAACGGCGGCGCTATATTCCCTTAGAGCTGCAGGAACAAGGAAGAGAACATGACTTTCATCCACCATCAGAGTTGATGTCCAATTCCGAATAGATGTATGAATAAAGCAATGTAGGCGTTCACGACCGAACTCACAATTAGAATTCTCTTTCGGACTGGACGGCCGTGATCTAGTGGAAATCAGGTATCCAACAAAACAAGTTTGTAGTTGGAAACTTGATTTCCTCTACACCATGGCTGTCAAGCCCAAAAGATAATTCAAATTAGTTAGATCATTCCAATTAATGTTGGAGTTTACTTTTTGGAATATTTCTAACGCAAAACATGTGCACATATCAAAAATTTAAAGTTAAAATTTCATCGTAATGCAAAATGTCAAATATATAAAATGTCCAGAAATAATTTAATAATATATCTACCTTCTTATAAAAATTTAATAACATTCTAAAAATGCTTGAGTTATCAGAATATGAATGAACTGTTTAATGGCGTATGACAATACACCTTTATTTTGTGAATTGGATAACTGCAGCATTTTTAAGTACCAAGTGATTGCTTTAGAAATTGAAAAAAACGAAAATTATATATTATATAATAGATCAGCTTATAAAACACGTCAGCATTATTTTCTGTTACGAATTCTTGAATTGATTTTGACACTGAATACAAACATTTTTTTAAATCTCTGTAAAGCATATTTTACGTTTGCTAAATAAGTCTTCCGAATTACGTGTATGAGGGGGGTTATGGATTTGGCTGTGCTTCTTCCGTGTTTCTTCAAGATTTCATTAATAACCTTTACGCTTATTGCTGAATTTTGATGACAAAAAAAGTAAATGATCCTTGTTCACTAAAACTAAATGCTAATGTTGTTCATTTTCCAATTGTCCGCCATCGAACCTAGTATCCTTACACGTTTTTCTAAAATAACATATTAAAGCAAGTTTGCTACAATGAATCTTGTGAGAAGAGCTGTAGAAACGAGTTTCAGAATGCTTACTTTTTGTTACCTAGTTGAAGTGCAATTGTGAAATAAAAAACGTATAAAATAATAAATTCAATTAACATATAGATCGTGAGCTGCAATAGTGGCACAACTGAAAATGAATCGAATATTGATTTAATAAACTCATCAGAATTTAAGATTGGTCCATCGTCCAGAAGCATCGTGAGTATATCTTTCAGTATCGTTCATTCCATCAACAAATCGAAAAAGTGTGAATTCAAGAATGATGTTTTTCAATATAAGGTGAAACTATTTGAAAAGCTTTTATCTTTATACCTGATTTTTTAGTTCTGCCACTACTGCAGACCATGAACGATGCATAAATATTAAATTTAGTAACAAACTCATGAAACTTGAAAAACTGATTTAAAAAAATCGGAATTCTTTTAAAACTTTTAAAATTTAAAATTAAAATTAAAAAAAAAACGGTTATGACACTTTTGTGACCCTGAATTTTAACTCAGTGAAATTTTTCTCTGAATGAATTACAAATTTGAATCCTGTAACAATTTTACTAATAAAGCTTATTATATCAAATTATTTCAATTTTCTCCATACAATATAAACCTAATGATAAAGAACAGCCTCTTTGAAACGTCTTTTTAATACACGGATATTATTGACTGAATATCTTTCTTTTTATCCCTTTTTGGCTTTGATGTATGGAGAAAATCGGAATAATCATACAACTGAACAATCATTTTAACATTAAATACATTTTATACAAAACGTAAATGACATTTCTGAGAAAAAAAAACCAAGCAAATTTTACACCGTGGATGATTTTTTAAATTATAACGAAAAAATGCAAGGCATTTTATCAAATATCATATTCATAATAATTTAAAACGAATTGTGTTATATTATACTCTAATCAATATTACTGACAAAACAACTATCAACCTCTCCTGCATTGGAATTTGCTAATCTGCAGTGTAACATAAGCCATCGTAATAAAAGTAAACTGATACTCTCATTGAAATGTTAGTGGGCTTGAATATGAATAGCAAACTTTGAGACTGGCGATCAGTTTTCAATCAATGATAATAACTTGACACCAATGGTGAGACTATGACGGCTTCAAATTCTATAAATGAGATAGAATTTTTTCTATTATTCATCGATATTTTTTAATCATGAAGAATAAATTAGCTCAGTGAATTATTTAGAAATCCATCCAAACATTGTTCGACATTTTGAGATAATTCATAAAATATTAGTGTAGAGTGACATAATGGTTAATTCTATGAGCATATATTCAACGAATCTCGATAACTACCTTGCATTTTGCGATCCATGTTAAATATAAATTAACACCAGACTTCTCTTCAAAATCCGATAACTCAAAAAATATATTCTTATCAAGCGCCTGAACAACGTCTGGTCTGGAATCGCAGTAAGATTGAAGAGCAAACTCACTACCTGGGTTACGTCTGGATTGTAAAGTGACAATGTCTGATTGTGAGCAATATTAAATATTATTATCTTTATTTTATTGAATCTCACCCTTTGTAGCCAAGTAACTGCAGTTCGGCAAAATTCCTAATTTTATAGACTTAAGGTTTATAGAAAGTATTTAAGAACAGATGTCACGTATTCCAATAGTACTCTATTATTTATTTTACACGGTGACCAAAATTGGAAATTTAATTTCGAGGTTTAATTCTTTCGAAATGGTCTTCTTATTACACTTCAAATTTCCAAAACATTTACTGCACTTAGAGGTTGTTAACATTCCCCCCTAATTTTTTTAACGCGCGAAAATAATATATTTCATTTAGAAAATCACCGGTTTGTTTAGATGAAATTACATCAGATGTGTTTTTTAATAATTTTTGCAAAATATTGCTATCGGGGTCTACATCTTTTTAAAATACTAACAGGTAAAAAAGACTTGTGAAGGTAGTCATTTTATTGATATATTTTCGTTAACACTACTACCTTGATCTATAGAATTATTACAATTACCGAGACATTGCAGTATGAACTCAAAACTCTCGTCAAGCAAATTCATTGTCGATAAAAATTGTAAACTTTTTAAATTCGTGGAGTATGATAATGAACAAAATTCGTACTCGAAAGTAGTTATAGGGTTATACCTGCACCACAATTTCTTTACCTTTGACCGCCGGCATACTCGTAGATGCCTATCATCATTGAATAATGCAAAACGAATTCAAAACCAATTATGAAATAAAAACTTATCTTCTACGGTGTAGTTAACATTCTGTTGGTAAACGTAATAAAGCCACACATTCTTCTACAAACACATACGGATTTCAAACTCCAATGCCTCGTAACCGTCTTCTACGTGCATGCCGCGATGTAGGATTCATTTATTTTTGTGTCCATTGTTTCTCACCATAGTCGCTGCGAGTTCTCTCATAAGTGCGTAGTCAGGGGCTTTACAATCGGTTCCAAGCGTAAGGTGCTTAACTCTTTGTGTATTATTGTTACTTTATTTCTGCAGGCTTACTCAAATCATTCTTTCGCAAACCCGTTATGATATTACTTCACATATTGTAGAAATTATTATTTTAATAGTTGGTATCACTTAATTGGCTTTTAAGGCAATCTCATTATTTTTTTCCAATATTAGAATTTTTTATATAGTGGATTGTAGATGCTATAAACTTTTAAGAACATTTCCTCATATTTTATATTGTACAGGTTTGGGGTACGCGTATGTCTGAAACTATTAGTTATAAGTACTTGATATTTCTAAAAGAGTTCTATCAAATAAATACTGAATTCACCAATTTTTAAACAATAAAATTTTGATACTACAGTTAGGAAAATGTCTTAAAGTGGTTGCGTAGACTTCCGCGCAGGAGTTTGTGTTATCTAGGCTATCCGGGACGAGCCGTCATGTGACGAGCATGTGAGTAACGCCCGGATAGCCTAAATAACAATATAACAATGTATTTAAGTTTGAGAACAATGTATTTGAGTTTGTTTTGGTCAATTAATCAACCATTCATATTTAGAAAAACAGTTTGTTATTTTGAAAATTATAAAAAAATTATTAAAAAATATAATATCATTGTTTTAAAAACGCAT